AAAAATAAAATAAACCCATAAACCAGATATCACCAATACATCAACCCCCCCCTCGCCCCGTCACAGCCACCTAAAAAAGGGGGAGCCCTCGCCTCCCCCCCCAGCGCTTCAGCCCCATAAAAAGGGTCCGCGGCGACTCTGTACAAGGACCGTGTGTGTTCCACCCGGGACTGTAAAAACCCCCCCGCGCCCCCCGTGCCCAATGTCACTCCCCCGGCTTGCAGGGGCCCTTCTCCTGCCGGGGCAGCTCCTGCTCCCGCAGCAGCCGCAGGTTCTCGGCTCGCAGCCTGTCCACCTCCCGCTCCAGCGCCTGCACCCGCGCCGGGTCCGCCGCCTCCCCTCCGGCTTTTTTGCTCTCCATCCTCAGCCGGTTGTTCTCCTCCTCCATGCGCGACAGGCACTTCTCCAGCTCCAGGTACTCCTTCACCAGCTCCTGCTTGCTCATGTTCTGCAGACTCTCCACATGGTACCGCTCGTACGTCTCCGAGAAGTCCCTCTGCAGAAACTCGCTGCCGTCTCCCCCCATCCCGTCGCTGCCCCCATCCTCGTCCGCCGCCTCCTCCAGGAAATCCTCCTCGCTCGTGTCGTCCGACTTGGCGGCCGCTCGCCGCGGGTACAGCCCGGTCTTCAGGTCAGGCTCCTCCTGGTCGTGGTCCTCCATGAGGAACTGCGTGGTGTTGTAGGGGGCCACGGGCTGCCCCTTGGCGAACATCTCTGCCCGCAGCCGGGAGGCGCGGAGGCTCTGCCGCTCGTCGAACTGCTGCTTCTCCTCCCAGCTCAGCTTCGAGTACGGCTTCCAGCGCCGCTTCTTCTTCGACGGCCGCCGACGGTGCTTCTTCTTGCCGGGCCACTCCTCGGCGCGTCCCACGGCCCGGTACCGCGGGCCGAGGCCGGGACGCGCCGCTCCGCCCGCAGCCGCCGCCGGCCGCCCCTCGGCGCCGCCCGCCGCCGCCTCCGCCCCGGGGGGCGGCAGCCGCCCCGCATCGCCGTCCTCCGCCGGCGCCTCCGCGGGCTGCGCCTCGGGCTCGGGCTGCGCCGGCGGCTCCGGCTGAGCCTCGGAGCGAGGCTCCGGTTCGCACTGGGGCTCCGGCCCCGCTTCCTCAGCGGGCGCCGCGTCGGCCATCGCGGCTTGTGCTCGGCTGCGCTCGCTCCGGGCTGAACGGGGCGCTACCGGCGCCTCATAGGGGCCCGGCCCCGCTCAGGCCGCCCCGGCCATGGCCCGGCGGGGTAGGGGGTGGTTAACGCCGCCGGGCCCGCCCCCCCCGCGCGCACCGCACGCTCCCGCCGCGCCCCCGCTGCCGCCGCTCCCTCCCCACTACCCCGACCCGCGCCCGCCGCCGCCCGCTCCCGAACTGCCGCTCCCGGGCCGCCGCCGCGCCTTAAGTACCCGCGCGCGCAGGGCCCCGCCCCGCGCAGGCGCCGCTCCCGCGGCCCTACCCCCGGCCGCGCGCCGGGCCCCGCCCCTGCCGAGCGCCGGGAGCAGCCGCCGCCTCGTGGCCAATCGGAGGGCGGCCTGGGGGCGGGGCCGCGCTCCGGGGCACGCCCCCCTCCCGGGATTGGCCAGGGATTGGCGCAGGCGGGCGTCACTCACGCGCGGCACAGCCAATCGTGAGCGGAGAGGTGGGACCGGGCCGTACCACGCGCGCGGGGAGGGGGGCGCTTCCCCGTGCGCGGCCCCGCGACCTTCAGGCGCGCGCCCCCCCACCCCCGCCGGCCCGGCAGTGGGACCACCCCGAAAGGAGTCCCCGCAACGGGCGGAGGGGCCCGCGGGCGGTGCTGCGGCTCCGGGACCGTCCGCCCCGGCATAGCCCCCCTGGGCCCGGGGGGTTCCGGGGAGGTGCGGGGGGTGCCCGGTGGGCCCGGGGGGTGCCGGGCTGAGAGGGGGAGGGGGCGGGCGGAAGGATCCGGGGGCTGCGATGGGTGCGGCGATCGCTGCAGCCGGCGGAGGGAGATGTAAACAAACCTCAGCGGAAAGAAGTCCCTTCTTAAAGGCGCCGCGTCCCTTTTTTTTTTTTCCCAGGGCCGGCGCGGGGCTGCGCTCCCAAAGCCTGGGGGGAGGGGGGGGATAAGGCGGAGCGGGGCCTCGTCCCGGTCCCTGGCCCAGTCCTGGCCCTGGCCCCAGTCCCGGTCCTGCCACCCCCACTGGCGATGTCCCCCTTGGGCCCCACGTCCGGGGGCGGGGCTGGGCTCGGGGGGCCCCACGGCCTTGGGGGGGGCGGGGGAGAACAGGGGGACAGGATGGCCCGCAGTGGGACACACGGTGGTGGTGTTTGTGTGTCTGTGTCACCCGCTGTGTCACCTGCCCTGCCCAGCCCCCCGGCCCAGGGGTGGCGCTGGCAGGGGCCTGGTGGCACCGGAGGGACCCCGCGGTGGCACCGCCACCCCCTTCGCCTGGGGATGGGACCCGGCCTGGGGGGAGGTTGGGGACTGGGGACAGACCCGGGCAGCTGCCACCGGGGCCTCTGATATGGAGGGGACGGTGGGTGGCCAGCTGGGGACAGTGGGGTGGCCTGGCCAGAGCAGGTGGCTCGGCTAGAGAGGGTGACCATTTGGGGACAGTGTGTGACCATTTGGGGACAGTGTGTGGCCATTTGGGGACAGTGTGTGGCCAGGCCAGGCCGCGGGGCCCCATCCCCTCCCCCCACAGGGCACAGGCAGCGGGGCTGCACCGAAAAGGCAACTTTAATCGAGGCAGGCTCGGATGGTGCCCCAGCACCCCGCCGTGTCCGGGCGGCTGGTCCGGCTGTGCGTGGATGGGATCCCCCAGATCCCGGGTGGATCCCAAGCGATCCCGGCCCCGCTCCCCTCGGGGCTGGCCCTGAGTGACAGTGGTGGCGCTGGTGGCTCTCGGGGGCTCCCCCGCCCGGGGTGGGTCCCGCCCGCGGAGCCCCCGTGGCTGGTGATGCGATGGGTCCGCGGAGCTCCCCCGGCTGGTGCCAAGCGGGATGGATGGGGTAGGATGGGGTGGCAGCGGGGCCGTGGCGGGCAACTCTTGGTCACCTGTTCCTGCCCTGCCAGCGGCGCAGCAGCCACTGGGTGAGGAAGGGCCAGGTGGCGAGGAAGAGCAGCGTGCGGGGGGACACCGTCAGGGGCCACGGGGACGTCACCTGGTGAGGGACAGAAAGGGGGGCATGGGGGGGGGACAGAGGTCACCAAACCCCCCCGCCCCAGCTCTCCACTGCTTGGTGGTCCTTCACATCCCTCCTCTGGAGATCATCAGCACCGTCCCTGGTGTCTGGAGGCTGGGGACATGTCCCTAGGGATGTCACCTGCCCCCCGCTGTGTCTCCAGGCCCCCGGGGGCCATGGGGTGGGTGGTGAGACAGCAGGGCCACCCCACAGTGCTGCCTCACCCCCAACTCACCTGCGGAGCAAGTGCTGGGTCGGGGTCTGTCCCAGCCGTGTCCCCCTGCAAGACAGGACAGGGTCTGGGGTGTGGGTGGGGTTGGCACCCCCCTTCCAGTGCCTGCACCCCGGGACAGGGAGGGAAGGGGCTGAAGGGAGCCCATGTGGGGCTCCTGTGAGGGATCCAATGGCACAGCTGGGCCAGGACCCCAGGGACAATGGGAATGAGGGGAGCAATGGGAACGATGNTGCCCCCCGCTGTGTCTCCAGGCCCCCGGGGGCCATGGGGTGGGTGGTGAGACAGCAGGGCCACCCCACAGTGCTGCCTCACCCCCAACTCACCTGCGGAGCAAGTGCTGGGTCGGGGTCTGTCCCAGCCGTGTCCCCCTGCAAGACAGGACAGGGTCTGGGGTGTGGGTGGGGTTGGCACCCCCCTTCCAGTGCCTGCACCCCGGGACAGGGAGGGAAGGGGCTGAAGGGAGCCCATGTGGGGCTCCTGTGAGGGATCCAATGGCACAGCTGGGCCAGGACCCCAGGGACAATGGGAATGAGGGGAGCAATGGGAACGATGGGGGCTATAGAAATGGGGAGCCAGTGGGAATAACAGGGGCAATAGGAATGATGGGGGAAGTGGGAATGATGAGGGAAGTGGGAATGATGGGGACAGTGGGAATGATGAGAAGCGGTGGGAATGATGGGGAGCGGCAGGAATGGAGGGAGGGCCGGTGGGAATGGAGGGAGGGCCGGTGGGAATGAGGGAGCAGCAGCTCCCTGCCTGCACCGTGGGGTAGATCAACCTCGGCCCTGCCGGGAGGTGCCACCACACCCCGGGGTGTCCCCGCCCTCTGGGCCACCCGGGACAGCCGAGCCCTGCCGGCCCGGGGTGGTGTCCCGGCCCCCCCGGCGGGTACCTGTGCCCAGGTGAGCGTCTCCAGCCGGCTCAGCCGCTCCCGCACCCGCCGCAGCTCCTCCTGCAGGGCCTGCACCGCGCTGGCCACGTGGGCCTCCAGCTCCGGGCTGAGCTCGGCGGTGTTCCCGAGGTCCTGCTCCCCCGCGGTGGCCCGGGGATCTGGGGGCACAGAGACGGGCACACGGGTGGCAGGGCAGGCTGGGCACCACCTCGAGCCCCCCAAGGAGACCCGGGGCTGGCACAGCCCACCCTGCACTGCCAGCAGGTAATGGCTCCCATGGAGTGCCACACGCTGCCCACACCACGGCTGCCCCCAGCCCAGCCCAGCCCAGCAGCCCCACAGTCCTGTGGCACTGGGGCTGTCCCCAGGGACACGGGCCACCACGGCCCCCCAGCAGTGGTGGTGGCAGTGGGTGACCTCCAGCCCACTGATGTGGCAGGTGCAGTGGTGCACATGGGTCACCTTGTGTCAGCCGGCACAGGCAGGACACCCAGCACCAGGCAGGACCCCTCGCTGGTAAAGCTGCCTCTCCGCCCACCCTCGGGCCCCAAACCAGCCTGGAAAGCCCTGGGCAGTCTGTGCTGAGCGGGGCACAGGCAGGGACTCGCTGCCACCCCCTGAGTGCAGCACCCAGGGACAGCCCAGCCTGGCCAGATCAGCCTCGGTACAGCTTCACTCCCAAGGTCAAGTAGCCCAGTTTGTGGGAACAGTAACACAGGAAGGGTGAGACAGGTGGCTGTGCCCAGGTAAGGTGATGACACCACCCCTGCAATGCCACCCTGGAGCAGCAAGCTCCAAATGCATCTGGGGACAGCACAGAGGGTGGCAGGAGGCTCCTTGTCCCCTCCCCACAGCACAGGTGGTGCCCCCCAGACACTGGCAGCAGTGGTGGGTGGCACCACAGTAACACAGTGTCCCCAAGACCTCCAGGGGCACAGGGTCCAGTTTTCACCTCCCACCCTCCTGGGGAGAGCTCACCCCTGGCACCACCACATCCAAAGTCACCAGTGGAGCCACAGGACCACTGGCAGGAGCTGGATAGAGGGGGAGCTGGGAATCCTCTATCCCTGCCCAGCTGCTGGAGAGGCCAATTTAGTACCACTGTGAGGAACAGGCAGCGGAGGGGCTGTGTCCTGGAGGGGTAAAGCCACCACACTTGGGGACCAAGGGGTGCTTAGAGGGGACACTCAGGGCTTCCTGCAGCTACAGATGACCCAGCCCTGGGTGCTGGAGCCAAACTTGGTCCCTTGTGAGTGGTGGCAGCCCCTGCCCCCCCCCTCACACCCCCAGAGCCCCCCAGGCCAGCCTTGCCTGCAGGGGGGAGCAGCAGGAAGGGGCCAAGGCTGCACCCACCTCTCTGGGAGCCCAGGGTTCTGAGGTCGGTGCTGCTGCTCCCCTCGGGTCTTCTGCCTTCACCCCACAGCCCCTGCCCAGCACCACGGGGCTCCAGGGGCTCAGCCCCGGCCTGGATGCCATTTGGGGTGAGGCCCTGCGGCCCCCCAGCCTGTGTGAGGGGAGAGAAGAAGGGCCCTGAGACCCCACTGCCCTCCCTGGGGCTGGGGGGCACGGTGGGTGATGCCAGGGCAGCGGTGGTGCCCCTCTCTGCCTTGTGGTGGGGGTGTGTGTGGCTGAGTGAAGCTGAATCCCAGTGGTAACACCAGTCAGCACCCAGTCTGGGAGGTGACAGAGCTCTAGAACCTGAGGGAAGTGAGGTGCCCAGGCTCCAGATGGCAAAAGGGGGGGGGCTTCCTCCCTCCTGTCCACAGTGGACACCTCAAGTGCCAAACCAGGTGGCAGCAGCAGGGAGGAGTGGCAGGAGTGCAGTCAAAGTGGCAGCACTGGCCCCGTGTGGGGCCGTGGGTCTCACTCAGGTGCCCCCCAGAGTCAGAACCAAGAAATGAGGGGGGCTGGGGAGGCTCCTCAGCCTCCCCTTGGTGACAGGGAACAGGCTCCAGGAGTGACACGAAGCACAGAGGTGCACTGGGTGCCAACACAGTGAGGCTTGCTGGGCTCCCAGGATGGCAGTGCTGAGCAGAGCCAGGAGAGCTGTGCAGTGTGGAGGTGTCTGTGCAGTGTGGAGGTGTCTGTGCAGTGTGGAGGTGTCTGTGCAGT